AGGGCCCCGGGAGAAAGAGCGGCGACTTCCGGGGGGGGCGGGCCTTTGGGAGGGGCGTGGCTCCGTGGGTGGGGTGGGGCCCCTAGGCTCTGTGGGTGGAGCGCAGGGCCCTGGAGAGCGGCTTCCGGCTCCCACTGTGGAGGGCCTCAAAGAAGGCCGGCGGTGCCGCGGTGACTTCCGGACCCTCACCGCAGGTCCCCTGCTCCTTTGCCCCCCACAGCCTCATCGCCACCAACGCTGCGCGGCTTCGCCTGATCGCGGGTCCGACGAAGCGGTTGTTGGAGATGGGGCTGCGGCGAGCTCAGGGCCCCGATGGAGGTCTTACGGCCTCCACCTACAGTTACCTGGGCGGTAAGAGCCCAAGGAGGGAGACAGGGGTCAGGGAAGGAGGAGGCCTGCCGGAAGCCCTCTAGCCAAGTCTGACGCCCGACTGACGCCCCCGCCCTCCTGGCCCCTGATGCAGGCTTCGATGGCAGCAGCAACGTGCTCGCGGGACAGCTGCGGGGGGTGCCCCTGGCTGGAACCTTGGCTCACTCTTTCGTCACTTCGTTTTCGGGCGCTGAGGTGCCCCCTGACCCGGTTAGCATCCCTCTCTCCTCCGCTGCCCTCCAGAGGGCAGTCCCGGAAGCCAGTCCTTGCCCAGGGGAAGGAGGGACTGCCATGCCCCGCCCATCTGAGCCACCCTAGCAGGTAGCTGCAGTCCTGCGCTCAGAAGCGGGCAGATGGTGGCAGGCATTACCCCTGCTTAGACCTCAGCCTGGGGGAGCCAGTCCTCACCCTGCTCATCCACTAAGGGTTGTCCATCCTTCACTCACCCGTTTCCATAGATGCTGGCTCCAGCTGCCAGTCAGGGCCCCAGGGTAGACCTGGCTGCATGTGTGGAGGCATGGCTGGAACGCGTGTGTGCCCATCTGGGGCTAGGGGTGCAGGAGCCCCACCGGGGGGAGCGGGCAGCCTTTGTGGCCTATGCCCTGGCTTTCCCCCGGGCCTTCCAGGGCCTGCTGGACACCTACAGTGTGCAGAGGTGAGGCCCAGGCACCCCCCTGGGTGGGCTCTGCCTGAACACCTATGGCCCCTCCACCAACCCTTCTCATCTTGCTGGCAGGAGTGGTCTTCCTAACTTTCTGGCAGTAGCCTTAGCCTTGGGGGAGCTGGGCTACCGAGCCGTGGGCATAAGATTGGACAGCGGTGACCTTCTGCAGCAGGCCCAGGAGATTCGTAGGGTCTTCAGGACCGTTGCGTCCCAGTGAGTCCCCTGGGAGGGGTTGTGCCTGCTGAGAGACCCTGTTGGGGGCAGGAGTGTTGGGATGGGGCAGAGGGAGGGAGGGAGGGATTTGCTCCTCCCAAATTGAGGAGCTCTGATCTGGCGGCTACCACAGTGGAGACATCGGGGCTCTGGGGGGAGAGGTCGGGGGAGTGGTTCACCCAGGGGCTTGTAAGCAGAAGGCAGAGCCCATGTGGCTGAGGCCAAATTCTCAGGTGGAGAGGGTGGGGGGAGGTGCGTAACTGAGAATAGAGAATGACCAGGTGAGGCAGGAGACCTGAGGGCTGTCCACCCGTCACAGGTTCCAGATGCCCTGGTTGGAATCAGTCCCCATCGCGGTCAGCAACAACATTGACGAGGAAGAGCTGGCCCGGCTGGCCCAGGAGGTGGCTGGCGGGCAGTGGGGAGCAGGGGCAGGGGTGGTTAGGAGGGCTCTGGGCCTGCAGATGTCAACCAAGCTCAGTGCCACCTTGTCCCTCCTCCTCCAGGGCAGTGAGGTGAACGTCATTGGCATCGGCACGACCGTGGTCACCTGCCCCCGCCAGCCTTCCCTGGGCTGCGTCTATAAGGTCAAGACAGGGTCTGGGGTCCAGTGGAGTGGGCCAGAGGGGTCATGGGTTTGGGGGGAGATTCCCATGGTCCCATGCACTTGTCTCTGCAGCTGGTGTCTGTGGGAGGTCAGCCCCGAATGAAGCTGACTGAGGACCCCGAGAAACAGACACTGCCTGGGAGCAAGGCCGCTTTCCGGCTCCTGGGCTCCGATGGTGAGGCCCCTCCCACTCCCCCACGGCCCTCCTCCTCGAGTCCCCAGGCCCCCCACTTTATTCCTGCTGCACACACAGGGTCTCTGCTGATGGATGTGCTGCAGCTGGCAGAGGAACCACCACCCCAGCCTGGCCAGGAGCTGAGGGTCTGGCCTCGAGGGGCCCTGGAAGCCTGTGTCGTGAGGCCTGCCCACGTGGAGCCCCTGCTGAGACTCTGCATTCAGCAGGGACAGGTAACTGCCTCTACCTGCTCCCTCAGTCTGCACGGTGAGCCTGAACTGAGCCCTGGCACCTGCTCCTGCCCCCTGCCCCAGCCTCTCCCTTCCCGCTGCCCCAGCTTCATGGGCCTCTCTCACCTCTCCCCTTCCCTCTCCCCGCAGCTGTGTGGGCCTCTCCCATCTCTGGCTGAATCTAGAGCCTTTGCCCAGCTGTCCCTGGGTCGCCTGAACCCTGAGCACAAGCGGCTGGAACAGCCCACACCGTACCAGGTAGATAGATGCCCGCCCCCCCCCACATCATTGTCACTTTGCCTTGTGTGCCCTCTCTTTCTACAGCCACCCGTCGATTCTCTCTTTTCCCTGTAGGTGGCGCTGTCTGATGAGCTACAGGCCCTGGTGGACCGACTGAGTACAGGAGGGTCCTCGTGAGAACTGTGGTGGAGACTGCCTGGAATCAACATGAGTCACTCACTGTCCTGCACAACTTGTCCCGTGTCATTTCTTCACTCAGCCTGCCACTCACTTGACCCCCAGGGCCTCCAAGGGTGGGTTGGAGTCTGGGGTCAGAGCACGGGGTCATGCTCCCAGGGGAGGCCCAGGCTCTGCCAGGGTGGGGAGGCTGTCCTGTGCTGAGGTCTGAAGGTCGCAAGGAGTTAGGCCAAGGCTGGGGAGTGTCCAGGGCTTGGGAAGCTGGACTGGGGGGGGGGGGGGGGGGGGGGGGGGGGACAACGCTATGGGGAAAGGGAGGCTTTGGTGCCCACCCAAGAGTTGTTGCAGGCAACTAGGGAGGCGGAGCCACAGGGCAGGGACGGGTGCCAGAAAGAGGGTCTTGTATCCAGGCACGGCCCCAGACTCCCCTGCCAACCAAGGTCCCCGCCCCGGAGAGGTCAGCAGGGCACCCCAGCTTCCAAAGCCAAAGAAGTGCAGGTGTCCCAGGCCACCGCTGTGGCCAGGCCTGCAGGACTCTGCCACTGGGGACGCTGGGCTCACGGGCTGCACCCAGCCGGCTCTCTCCAGGCCCTGGCATCTGTCACAGGGTCAGCAGGGCCTGGGCCCCAGGGGAGCCGGCTGCTGATGCAGCAGCCTTGCAGAGAGAAAGGCTCAGGGGTGCACATGAGAGCCCGTGAAGAGATTCAGGGTGCTGGGCTGGCCTTGCCTCACGCACACGAAGCTGCTCAGGCTTCTGCCAGCTTTGGCAACTTGCGTTCCAGAGAAACCACTCACGAGAGACGTTCTAGGCTCTGGGGGAAGTGGGGCAGGGGCGCCGGGCGCCTCTGATTGGTCCGGCACAAGGTGGCAAAGGCAGGCGAGGGCGTGTGGAGGGGAGCGGGCTTCCCGGGGGTGCTTCCTAGAACACTTCCGCCTCTCCAGGTATCTGACCAGACTGGCTTTTCTGGATCCCTAAGCTTAGGCCAGTGCCCATGTCACTGGGTGAGGATGACAGAATTTAGGGCAGAGGCCCTGGGGAGCATGAGGCTTCGAGACACACAGACTCACGAACACCCACGTGGCAGAACACACCCACCCCAGGTTCCCACAGGTCAACACTTCTCAGATGGGCACTTCCCAGGCGCCAGGACCCGGGGGGCCCACCTCAACAATGGCAGTCACCAGCAAGGGCACCTGGGAGGCGGCCTCTGCTCCAGCCCGAGGTTGCCTGAGCTGGGAGGTGGTGACGGCTCTCCCAACCATCCTCATCCCCCAGATGTCTGGCTCCGTGGGAATGCAATGGGGACAGCCCAGTCCCTGACCCCAGGCCCTGCCTGGACACATCTGCTTCTTTTTTTTTTTTTTTTTTTTTTTTTTTTTTTTTTTTTTTTTTTTTTTTTTTTTTTTTTTTTTTTTTAATTTTTTTTTCAACGTTTATTTATTTTTGGGACAGAGAGAGACAGAGCATGAACGGGGGAGGGGCAGAGAGAGAGGGAGACACAGAATCGGAAACAGGCTCCAGGCTCTGAGCCATCAGCCCAGAGCCCGACGCGGGGCTCGAACTCACGGACCGCGAGATCGTGACCTGGCTGAAGTCGGACGCTCAACCGACTGCGCCACCCAGGCGCCCCCACATCTGCTTCTTTAGGGCTGAATCAGGCAAGGCTTTAACTTAGGATTGGGCCCAGACTTCTGGTCCCTGCTGGGGCTTCTTCAGGGCTGGGCACACTTCCACGAGGTCTCCCCGCCCAGAGGGGCTGGAGGTCAGGGGTAAAGGGCCCTTCTCCCCCTCTCCTTGTAGATCCACATGCCAGGGCTCTTTATCCCTTCCCCAAGACCCTGGTGGGCTGAGCCAGATCCCAGACGCTCAGGTATCAGGCTGGCTACTCGCTGCCAGCAGCAAGGGCAGGAGGGCCCTTCACAAGCCCCTGCTGTGTGCCACACCCGGGCACGCCTCGGCGTGGCTCCCCAACCCCCCACACGCACAGAGCATGAGCTCACAGGCATGCGCCACCACGCCTGTCCTGGGTCCTGTCTGCCCAGGGCCAGCTTCTAGGTCAGGCCCGCGCATGACTTCCGGGGAGAACCAGTGGCAGGTGCCGTAGGCTGGGTCCAGCTGAGTAGCTTGGGGTGTGCGGCAGCCATGGCTTGGGGGGTATGGGGCAGGGCTCGGGGGGGCCCTGTGGGGGCCCTAACCCTGACAGCTCTGGCTGAAGAGATCCGGGCCAACCAGGGGCAGCCCCCAGGACCCTCTTCCATTGACCCTCAGCCTGAACCTGAGCTTGAACCTGAGGCGGAGCCTATGGGTGTCACTGCCATCCCCACAGCCCGCCCTGTGCCCTGCTCTCTGCCCAGGGTGCAAGAGCCAGCCCCCAAGGGGCTCTATCAGGTGAGTGGTAAGGGAAGGGGGGCCGAGGGGACCACAGGGAGGAGGCTGGGGAGGTGCTGGGGAAGAATTGGGAGAGGCAAGGGGACTTCGTACATCCCACCCACCCTGCTCTAGGACCCCCCAAGTTCCTGGGAGGAGGGGGCCCTGGCTGACCTGGCATTGTATGCGGCTGCCTGCCTGGAAGAGGCTGGCTTTGCGGGGACCCAGGCAACAGCCCTCACACTGTCCTCAGCCCTGGAGGCCCGGGGGGAGCGTCTGGAGGAGCAGGTGAGCCAGCACCCCCTCCCTGCCCCCAGGCTCCTGCCGTGGAGTCCCCAGGTTGGGGGATCCCAGTGAGCAGCCTGTCAAGCTCTCTCCCTTCGGGTGGCACCTGTCCAGGGGGGTCCAGAAAGTCTCCCACTGACGCGGGCTCCCTCACGCCAGGTGTATGCCCTGGTGCGCGGGCTGCTGGCACAGGTGCCCAGCCTGGCCGAGGGGAGGTCCCGGCAGGCGGCCCTCCGGGTACTGAGTGCGCTGGCCCTGGAGCATGCTCAGGAGGTGGTGTGTGCGCTGTTGCCCAGCTCGCTGCCCCCGGACCGGTAAGCCGCCTGGCCCAGGCCAGCCCCGCGTCCCGAGGCACCACGCAGCTTCCTTCCCTCTTCCAAATTGGCAGCAGTCTGGTCCTGGAGGGGCAGGCTGTGGAGAGGGCCTCAATTCCCTCCGTGTGACTCCCGCCCTCCACCTACCCCCCCACCCCCCAAACCTCGGGGGCCTGCCTTCTCCCTCCGGGTCACACTAGGAGCCCAGCCTGGGGGTAAGCTCCAAGGTGGGGTCAGCAAGCCTGGAGCCCCTGGCTGTGTGGTTACCCTGCCCCAGGAGAAGTTCTCTCTGGTTTTACTCTCCACAGTGATTGTCTCCACTATCGGGTCTGTTTCGGGGTTGCTGGCCCGACCAGGTTCTGAACGGTCCCTGCCAGGCAGTTAAGGTTGCAGGTTATTTCTTCACTGATGCTGGTTATCTTGCTTCTCTGGGATTTGGGGGTGGAGTGTCGGGGGGGGGG